TAAATTTCATCTTGGGATCTCAAAGGGATTCGGAGTAAAAAAATAAAACGTAACCACAAATTATGAACATATGGGGCAAAATTCCTGAACTGCCTAGGTAAAAAAATGAATTTTCTCTAAACTTTGCTAAAATGTTACTATTATTAGTAGAAGTGTAAATAATAATTTTTTTTAAATTTGATAAAATATTTTTTGAGTTATGGAGTTTCAAAATTTTGATTTTTTTGAAAATATATTTTTTTCGATTTAATATATTTATACCTAAGTAAAATTAATCAAATTTAAAGTATGAATAGTGATTTTTAAAGGGGTTTTCACGGGCTATAAGCTGGTGATGAAAAAAGTTGTTTTCTGTCGATTTGACCTTGAAATTCAAGGTCAAATTCTTAATTTCAATATACAGTAGAACCCGGTTAATACGAACCCGTTTAATACGATTTCCCGCTTAAGATGCTCATTTATGGTGGTCCCTGCAATTAGAGACATACATTTTATATCCCACCTGATATGTTTTCCTGCATAAGACGCATTCTTAGTGCGGTCCCTACAGAATCGTATTAACCAAGTTCTACTGTATCTAAAAATCGGTGTTTTTTATTTTTTTGTAACCTATCCCAATCGAAAGCTCACCTTATTTCATATGAGCCATGTAAAAACCAGAGTGGGACCATGAAACTTTTTGATGAAATTAATTATAAATCATCATTTTCTATGTAAAAGAATAATATGTAAATTATTATTTTCCTCAAAAATTCTCATGGTCCCACTCTGATTTTTACATGGCTCATAGAAAAAGGTCACCAGCTTATAGCCCGTGAAAACCCCTTTAAAAATCACTATTCATATTTTAAATTTCATTAATTTTACTGATAAATATATTAAATCGAAAAAAATATATTTTCAAAAAAATCAAAATTTTGAAACTCCATAACTCAAAAAATATTTTATCAAATTCAAAAAAAATTAATATTTACACTTCTACTAATAATAAAGTTAATAGAAGGGATGAAAAGACATTCTAATAGAAACCAATTTCCCTTTCAATTTTTCTTAAATTCAAAGTTAAAAAACACTGATAGAGTGTACCAATGGGAAAATAAAGCCAAGAATTAATACATTTCAATAAGAACAGTTTATTTTAAACACTTTGATTATTTTTAACACTTTTAACAAAAGTTGTTTGATTAAAGAGATATTCGATATATTTTAGATTTGTTAAAAAAGATCGATTTTATTCTAGTTATTTTTTTAAACTAGATTTTCTGAATAATATATAATGAACAGATCATAGTTTCTAAACATAGTAAAATTTTAGCAAAGTTTAGAGAAAATTCATTTTTTTACCTAGGCAGTTGAGGAATTTTGCCCCATATGTTCGTAATTTGTGGTTACGTTTTATTTTCTTACTCCGAATCCCTTTGAGATAACAAGATGAAATTTACAGGACATATAAAGCACATTTGCCCTAACATTTAGTAAAATTTTGAACTGACGTGGAATCCACCATTAACCCATTAAAGCCCATGATTAGTCAAATGAAAATATCATCAAAATTATTATTGGAAACAGGACTGTGGATCAAATAATGACTTTTGACGTCAAAAAATGTTTAAAAAATAATTTGTTTATAAAAATTGTTATAAACAAATGAAGAAAATTGATAAAATTTTAAAAACTAATAGCGCCATTCGATTCTACGTGAAAAATTACTAAAGGAACATGTATGACTTTTTAAAAATTTTCACTCGATTTGTTGTAAATAATTTATAAACAAATAGTGCACTCTCATGTACCTATTTGAGCCCATCATTACACAACTAAACATTTCATCAAAATTATGATTGGAAACAGGACTGCGGATTAAATGATGACTTTTGACGTCAAAAATTGTTTAAAAAATAATTTGTTTATAAAAATTGTTATAAACAAATGAAGAAAATTGATAAAATTTTAAAAACTAATAGCGCCATTCGATTCTACGTGAAAAATTACTAAAGGAACATGTATGACTTTTTAAAAATTTTCACTCGATTTGTTGTAAATAATTTATAAACAAATAGTGCACTCTCATGTACCTATTTGAGCCCATCATTACACAACTAAACATTTCATCAAAATTATGATTGGAAACAGGACTGCGGATCAAATAATGACTTTTGACGTCAAAAATTGTTTGAAAAATAATTTGTTTATAAAAATTGTTATAAACAAATAGAGAAAATTAATAACATTTTTAAAACTTATAGTGCCATTCGATTCTAAGGGCAAAGACTACTAGAATATTTTTTAAATTTAAAAAATTATGAATCAACAAATTCTGACTGCATTTGTTCGTATGAAATATTTAACCTTTAGAATTACTGTCACTGTTGTTCATTTGTTTATAACAATTTTTATAAACAAATTATTTTTTAAACAATTTTTGACGTCAAAAGTCATTATTTCATCCGCTGTCCTGTTTCCAATCATAATTTTGATGAAATGTTTAGTTGTGTTATGATGGGCTCAAATAGGTACATGAGAGTGCACTATTTGTTTATAAATTATTTACAACAAATCGAGTGAAAATTTTTAAAAAGTCATACATGTTCCTTTAGTAATTTTTCACGTAGAATCTAATGGCGCTATTAGTTTTTAAAATTTTATCAATTTTCTATATTTGTTTATAACAATTTTTATAAACAAATTATTTTTTAAACAATTTTTGACGTCAAAAGTCATTATTTGATCCGCAGTCCTGTTTCCAATAATAATTTTGATGATATTTTCATTTGTCTAATCATGGGCGTTAATGGGTTAACACGATAGTCAGGGAAACAAAATTTTTTCAGTAAAGTCAAAAAAATGTCAATAAAAAATTTTTTTTCAGGGAAAGTAAGAAAATTGAGACATTTCTTCGACTTATAAACAAATCTTTCAAATTAAAAAAAATTAGCATCTAAATTTTTTAAAATGCAATATTTTCAGTATTTATAATTACATATATTTCCAAAAATCCAAATACATACGAAAATAATATTTTAGAATTATTTTTAACATTTTGGAGAAAACATTTATATTCAAAATTTTTAATTAAAATTCATCAAATAATTAATTAGTTTACTTAAATAATACAAAAAATCTAATAATAAATTCAATCCTATTTTCAAAAAATTGCATTTTAGAATAGTTGTAAAGTTAAAAAATTGAAATTTTAAAAAAAATGTGGTTTATTTCACGTTAACAGGTTTATTTTTTGACAGAGTACTTGCCCAATGTCCAATAAATAATGTTTAAACAAATAAACCCAAAAAAACGAAGAAAAAAAATTTTTTAACAACATGTAAAAATACATTTATTTTTTCGCCCCAGGGTGCGTTTTTGGCTTTAACAACAAATATAAAAAATCTGACTAAAGATATTTAGCAAATACATTTAGGTATCTCTTCAGGGGACCCAAATAACCCTCAGAACAAAAAGATATCCATAAGATATCCATGAGATATCATACTTAGATACAGGATATCCTGAAAAAGTCCCATGGATATCCCATGGATGTCTAAAGATATCCATAAGATATCTGTAAAATATCCAAATTTCCGCAAGGTAGGATATCCTAGGGATATCGTAGGGATATCTCAGGGATATCCTAGGGATATCTCAGGGATATCTTAGTGATATCTTAGGGATATCTCAGTGATATCTTAGAGATAACTTAGGGATATCTCTGGGATATCTTATGCATAACTCAGTGATAATACAATGCAAAATTGTTACAATATTACAATGCAATTAGGTTTTTTTGAATTAAATGATCGTATGGAATTCCGCATGAAATGTCCGCTAACAGTTTCTTTCAAAACTTTTCGGCCACATTTCTATACGAAATTCGAGCGAATTACAAACAGATTTCTTTTTGGAAATTTTTTGAAAAATTCTGGTCAGAAATTCGTATAAAATTCCGCATGAAATGTTGGTTAAAATTTTTTAAACAAATTTTTGGACAAAATTTCATACGAAATTTGTACGAAATTTGAGCGACTTACTAACGGAATAATTTCGGTACAATTTAAAATTCGTGCTTATTAATTCATATGGAATTCTGCATGAAATGTCAGCTAATAAATTAAAAAAAAATTCCGGCTTAATTTCCACACAAATTTGTATTAAATTCGAGTGAATTACTAACGGATTTCTTTAAGAAATTTTTTTAAAAATTCTGCTCGGAAATTCGTATAAAATTCTGCATGAAATGTCAGCCAATTACAAAAAAAAATTTCGGCTAAATTTCTATACGAAATTTGTACAAAATTCAAGTGAATTACTAACGGAATGATTTTGAAAATTTTTTTTAAATATCTGCTCGGAAGTTTATATGGAATTCTGGATAAAATGTCAGCTAACAACATTTTTAAAAAATGTTTTTTTATTTTTGAGCGAATTTTCAAAGGGACCAATTTCAGTAAAATTTTAAAAAATTCTGCTAGTAAATTTATATGGAATTCCGCATAAAATGTTAGCTAAAGATTTCTGTCAAAAATCTCTCCTCATTGATTTTTGAATAATTTTTTATTAACCCATTAAGCTCAAAAAAATTTAAAAAATGTTAAATAAACAATTTATATAACATTTTTAAAGAAAAAACACGATTTTTAAAGGTTTTTAATTTGTATAGCTAAACCCTTTAACATACCTTCTGCTGTTATAAATATCGCGTAAAAAATAGTAGAGTTACAAGAGAACACAATTTTGGAAATTAAAATTTTAAATGTCCGCCACAAAATGGCCACCAAAGTTACTTTTTTAAACATTATTATAAATGAATAGAGGAAATTTAAAAAATTAAAGTATAAAAAAGTCGTCAAACACTAATTTAAACATAATAAAATAAATTGCAATTAACTAAAAAGTGTTTAAATTAATTAATCGCATAATATAGTTTCAGAAAAATTTTGAATATAAAAAATGATCTAAAAAAGAGAAAATTGCGGTTTCAACCTATAACAATTATGCGTTTAAAATACTTGAATTAAAGATTTTATTATTCAATTAAAATTTTTACAGTTTTTAATGTAAATCATTAAATCTCAATATTTATAACAATGTCATGTATTTATTCATAGTAATATAACACAATATTAATAAATCATAATCAGTCTTACGTAATTGAGATATTAACTCAATTTTCAGATGAAATTTTATAATTTAAATTTAAACAATTTCAATTTTTTTTAGACAAAGTCCAACGATAAATATTAAAAGAAAAATTCATTAAACAATGTTTCACTTGATATTTAAAATCAGCAGAAATCTGATTGATATGAAATTTGAAATTACAAATTATTGCACACTTAAAACAGTCTTTGCCATAACTAAAATCTAAATTAATCAGTATGCAAGATAAGAAATTAAAAATTAATAAATAATAATTAATAATAATAATAAATCATTTTTAAGAAATTAAAAATTCCAACTTATTGAACACATAAAACAGTCTTTCTCATAACTAAAATTTAAATTAATCAGTATGCAAGATAAGAAATTAATAACTGACAAGCAAGTTTAAGTTCCAACTTATTGATCACATAAAACAGTCCTTCTTATAACTAAAATCTAAATTAATCAGTATGCAACAATGAAGAGACTACATACTCACTCCTATTTAACGGAACAATCATAAATTTTCTCTTTACATTCTTCAAAGGCCACATTTTTAGACTTGATAAATCACTGACTATAAACTCATTTAGAAGAGATGATTCACATGGTTTTGAATATAAGTTGCGAACAGTTTCAAAGTTTTTTCCAATAACAACAATTTCATTGGAATCTACATGATGAGCAATATTTAAAATCAAAATAATATCTTTGTTTAATAAACCGAAGCAACTATCACGTAGTTTTAAAACATCTAATCTAAATTCTCTAATAGTTAATTCATGATATTCAGGCGAAGAGCATCCTTCAAGTAAAGGACCATTACAATGCTGTGAGTTTTCATTGATTTTAATTTCATTTACTTGCGACTTCGTAAGTTTCGCACTGTTTTTCTTAAATTCGGCATATCTTCGTACTAATTGCTCTAAAGGTTTCTCACCTTTTCTCATCCACTTCTTAAGTTGTTGTAAATAATTTTCAAAATCAAATGCACTGAAGTTATCAAGACAGCCTCGTTTTCTAGCATCATCAACTAAATGCAATAACCCGTGCATATTGTAGGAAACGCTGTAACTACCAAATAAAAAAGTAAGACACTTTACAAAGTATGACAATAATTCATTCGCGTAATCCAAGTAATTTGGCCTTTTTACTAATTTTTTTGAGCATAAAATTCGCATAGCAACGTGAAGAGTGTTAAAATGCGTATACAATTTTTGAGGTAAAATACCTTTAAAAATGAAACTGCCAGTATATAAAACAAATTGTCGGTACTCAGTCGCTTTCCAAAATCTTAATTCTTTTAAAGATCGAGGTTTTCTTGAAAATTCTTGTGGAATATATTTCCTCAATTTTTGTAAACGTTTCGAAATTTTGTTTATCTGCCATTTTCTCAATCGAGAAGGCGAGCGAATAACTATCAAAAAGAAAATCAATCTTCTCATACAACCTAAACATACCAAATGCATATAATCATAAGGAATATCATCAATAAGATTAAAATTTGGAATCCGACGTAGACAACAGTAACCTAATTGGTGTTTTTTATGCATTCGATAGCGAATGTTAGCATCAGTTCTTTTTTTATAAACTTTACCTGTATGAGGAAAACAAACTCGATGTCTTCTCCACTTTCCTCGTATAACACATTTTGTACAGCTGTGAAATCCTGTGTGGCCTTTAACGTTTAAAAGAAACGATTTAGCGGGTGCATCACAAATTATGCAATCAATTTTGCAGGTCAAAACATTTTCTCTAAATTTAAAGCCATTAGTGCACAGGTCTTCAACTTCTGTAATAAAATCTTCCAAAAATTCTTCTTCATAAGTCGGTTTTTCATGTCCGTAATAAACACCAATCAGGAAAATGTCTGGAAATGGATGTATAGAAGCTAAAATTGGCCAAAATTGAGCTCTTGAAGATTTTGCTAGTGGAACACCGTCAATGCCTACTTTTAACTTAATATTTGATAATGGCTTGTTGTAATATTTAGTAAGTATTTCTTCAATTCCAGTGCTTAAGCCAAAGTGATAATATACTCCTGGATGAACTGTTTTTATAGCCGCTTTTCCCGTAGGTGTACCCAGCAATGTTCTTGGGTCTTTGGGTATTTGCTGTTGAAAACAATTATGTTCTTTTAATTTGTTTAATAATGGTCTTAGTTGAGAATGTGTTATTCTGTAATCTGTGGCCCATGTTGCTAGAAATGAATTAATATCTTCAGGGTCTTTCTCCTTTTCACAGTTTTCCATATAAACTTCATTCATATCAATTATATCAGGTTCAGTAACGTTTGATGCATTTTCGGAAGAAATAGATATAGAAGCTAGGGATTCTTTTTCCACTTTAATATCATTTTGTAGCGAATAGTTTAAATCATTTACCACTGGGTTTAGAAGGTTATTATCTGAGAATGAATTTTCAGTATCAGTAAAGAATAAATTTTGGGCCTCCGGTGATAATGAATTTTGTACATTCGTTGTATCCGTTGAGTCTGTATGCAAGAAAGAATGTTGAAGCATATGCTGAGTAATTCGATTTCGAAACTGTCGATCTGACAAATCGTAAAGCCTTTTCCTCTTCATTTTGTGACTTTAACCTGGAAAATAATTTTTGTTTTCAAATAGGCAAGTAAGAATAAGCATAAAATATTAAAAATGTAATTATTTAAACTCATGCTCTGTGAAAATACTATCAGGATACAACAAAATTTTTTGATACAGAGTTAAAAAATAAAATGGAACCAGATTGCCGAATCAAAATGTGACTACATTAAAGAAAATTCTGCTTTTCAAGGTAAAAAGATTAATTTTTTCTTAAGGCGTACTTGCATTTGCGAAGAAAAAAATAGGCCCCACTTTAAAACTTTTAAAAAAGTAAAAAAAACGGAAATGGCGTCCTTTTAAAGTCAATTTTTAAGAAATGATGATTTTGATATTTTGAATTTTTGACTTTAAAAGTACCGCATTTTCGTTTTTTTTACTTTTTTTTATTTTATCACATTAGTCCACTAGCTATTAATGTATACTAAAGAATAAATTTTGTTTTTTTTATTTTAGATTGTCAGGAGCGGCTCTAGTGGGGGCACCGCAAACTCTTACAAATTTTAGATAGCCAATTTTTGGGGCCCACTACGAACCGTAAATAACGGTTAAAAAACAAAACAATTTTTTCTTTTTGTAGTTTTTATAATGTACTTTAAGGTGCAAAAATCGTTTTTAATATTTTAAATAAAATTACTGTGAAAAAAAACATTAAAGTGGGGCCTATTTTTTGCCTTCGCAAACGCAAGTACGCCTTAAATATGTTTCCAAGTGTGTTCATAAAGAGTCAGTGAGTAATTCAAAGCGTTTTCAAAGATACAACATTAACGGTGTTGCGCAATTTCAAACAGTGGTCGCCTTTTAAAAATGGCTGCTTGAACGTAAACGTAATTTCAAAAAGATTTTTTTCCCAATTTGAACAATTATTACAAAATAGGGAAAAATACCAGTTATCCTGAAATTTCGTTCTTACATTTGTGCACAAGAAATTGAAAATCCAATATAATACACGACGTCAGGAAGTAAAATGAAAAAATTATATGTGCCCATTAGGTGCTGCTCTGTGGTGGTAATTTTATGTATAGTAGCGCATTTGTTTAACGTTTTCCTATTTTACTTCCTGTCGTTGTAAATCTAAATAAATCTTTTACTTCTTGCGCTCAATTAAAAGATAAAATATTCAGGATATCTTGTATTTTTCCGATTTTGCAATAACTGCCCGAATTGGGAGATAAATCATTTTCAAATCAAGTATACATTTGAGCAGCCATTTTTAAAGGTCGATCACTACGGAACACTATTAACCCCTTCATTGTCACTGACCTCTATAGCGTCACAAAAATGTCGTGCCCGGTATGTCAATGAACGCTATAGCGGCATCGAAAAAAAACATTTAAAAGTTAACGAACATGTCCTGCTGGAAGTAAAGGGATAGAAATCCTATCTCTTTCAATAATTTTTAATCTCTGAGATAGAAAGAGATAAAGTTTCTCTATTTTAGTTTATCCCCATTTTATCACTTCTCATCTCTCTTTCTGTATCAATCTTTTCCAATAAACTTTATCTTATCTCTTTTAATACTTTCAATATGCACATCTATCTCTAATTTCAGCTAAGAACATTCTTATAATTTTTAATAATTTTGATTCTAGAATATAAATAACTTGATTTGGGAAAAATAGGTTATATAAATAGAAGTACGAAAACTCCAAAAATATTTTTTTTAAATAATAAATTCAATTAAAATTGTAATACTTCATAAGGTCTTTAGTATTAATAATAATATTGGTTAATTAATTATTTATATATTAAAAAGGATAAAAATTTGCAGCAAAGAGAAATAAAAAGAGATAAAAGTACATAGGTGTAAAAAGAGATAGAAATTTCGAGATAAAAAGGTATAATATTTTGGGTTTATCTCTTTTTATCCCCAAAATTCTATTTCTCTCTATAATTTTACTTCCAGTAGGGTGGCCAAAAATGCAGACGCGTTAGTTGGTAAAAAATAAAATCATAAAAGAAAATACAACATAAATAAGATTGTGAAATTATAAAGGAAAATTTATAGGAATAAGGACAGTTGACCAAATCCATTTGTTTTATGTTATTATTTTTAATTCGATCTGAAACATATTTATGTATGTTCCACCGAATGTTAATATATGAATGCTATTCATAACTAAAGTATAATACACTGAGAGAATTACGAGACTTCAGACTCCTCAAAAAATTATTAATTGTGGATCTAAAGTGAACCAACGATTTGGGAACTCTTAAGAACTCTTGAGAATATTCGAATAAGAGATAGTTATAGCCTCACTAGCAGAAAAGCACAGAACAACGACTAAAAGAAAGTCTGAAGTATTGTGCGTATCTCAGTGTATAATAAATTAAAATTTTTATTAATTAATATATATTATTGCTGTTATTGTGCTAAAAACCTTTTTTTATATTTGGTATGTAATTAAAAGTATTTATGCAATAATACATTAAGCGCTAGGACTAGAATGTTCCCATCAGCCGAATTAAAGTACTCAAAATATAATCAGGCTTTGCCCGACTACTCTCAAGTCACACATTATTGCATATACAACCTTAATTAATTTGTTAATGCCAAATAAGGTAATCAACAATGCGAGCAAGTCATTAAATTTTTCATAATCTCCATTAATAGAAGAAACTTTGCAACGTTGTTTGAAATATACTTTTCATACTTTTTATAGAACTTGATTTTTTATTTCTATGTGATGTGGGCAGTAAAAAGGGATCTTACTCGATGATTTTTAAGCTAAGGTTATGTATCATTTACGAAACCGATATAAATTACATTAAGATTACATTTTTAATCCGCGGTCCCAAAAACTCTCCAGTTCAAATTGTTAAGCGAATCTAATTGTTATTTGAGCCTACGCGACCAATAAGAGCAGCTACTCACGGGTTGTCTGTCCTAATCGGAATATCTACTTTTAAATTGCGTGGTGGAAACTAAATCTGGCCAATAAGGAGACTGGATTCTTTCCACTTCTACGTAACTCGAAGTTGATATTGCGGTTGAGAAAGACAGCCCGAGCGTAGGTGTTATTATTGCACGCTGCGACACATTTATTCTCTGCTTGCTATGTTAAATACAGTTGGTTAAATTTGATCTTTAAAATTTTTAAAAACTGATGCCGGTCCTTTTTACGGTCCATGTCACGTAAATTACTCTGACAGTAAGAAGGGTAGATACTTTTTAATACCCTTGGGATATTTTAGAGATATAAAAATTTTAAGAAGCTGGTTTATATCTTTAAGATGTTTGTATTACATTTTAAAATAAAGGGTCTGTAAAAATTTATAGATGCTTCTTCTTACTGCCATTTTTGATAAGTAATGAGAAATAATAATGTACGTGTAACAAAGCTGTAGACTTTAGAAAAGTATTTACGTGATTTAATTAATCTCTTCATTGGCACTTTCGTTATTGCTTTCGTGATTGCTCTCATGATTTCTCTCATTCTCATTATTATCAGGGACAAGGTCGTCACTATCGTCACTCTGCTCTTCATGATCTTCTAATTGTTCTTCATCACTTTCAAGGAGATAATCATTTTCTGCATTGGTTGTATTACAGTTTGACCGATTATTTTCAGCATTAAAACGCTGTGGTGCGTGACGTAACCAATCCTTAATTTTTTGAATAATAGAGCTCTCAGTCCAATTCTTATTTTTCTGCAGGGATTCTAAAAAATAGTTACATTTTTGTGCAGATTTCTGTTTGACATTTATATAACATTTAAACCTCTATATTACTCTACGGCAACAATTTAGTAGTATAAGAAAATAGATATCCTGCATTTTTCTGATCGGGCTTTTATATTTTTCGGCAACCATATGCACTGAACGTTTTGCGCGATTAGCATTTCTAAAGTGATTTTTCATGGCTTACATGGAAAACGTAATTTTAGTGGAATTGAAATTTATATGGGTGATTCTCCAGCACACGAAGCGCAGAACTTGATTTTATTCATGTTGTGAAAGAAAAATCACAAAAAAATTTTATATAATATTATTACACTTCCAACGCACGAAGGTTATTTCTATGCTTATAAAAAAACCAATACAGTCAAACCTGGATAAGTGACATTTCAAGGGACCGTGAATTTTTTGTCACTTATAGAGGTTTTTCACTAATAGAGGTTTTCACTTAAGGTAAACGTCCCTATTATGGAACACTTCAAAATTTCGTCCCTGTTATGGAACAGTATTACAAACATTAAAATAAATGCAATTAAAAGTGGTGATAAGAAATTTCTACTTATTTCAAAAAATTATATACGTTATAAGAATGATTATTTCTGTATAGTATTTAGTTTAATAAGAAATGTTTAATTGCATTTTAACTTTGAATTTAAGGTAAGCCAGAATTTTCGTCAGACGACTGTTCCATATTAGGCACACTTATTATTTGCATGTCCCTATTTTTGGAACACACAAGAAATATACAGCTAACATAACCTCAAATCTTTTCAGTATTTTCGCATTAATTTTCTACCTGAAAAATTGGTTTTATAATTATCTATTAAATTAGAATTTGTTAATTGTACTTTATTCTGTATAAATAATATTCAAATTATTGAGATAAGTCAATAGAATTCTAAATACTTATTAAATTAAATAAGTGTTCCATAAATAGGGGCATTCAATATGGAACACCCGTACATACAGGAAATCATCGTTCCATAATGGGTGCAGTGTAGAGTTTCAAAATTTAATTAATATTATTTTTATTTCATGGAAAATAACCATTTTAGAGAATAAAGTGTTCCATAATAGGGACATTTACCTTATGCCGTCTCTAATAGAGGTTTCTCACTTATCCAGGTTTTACTTAGCCAGGTTCGACTGTAGTTACTTTTGTATGTAATATTATCATTTTTCATAATAAAGCAGTTTTAAGGTATTTGTCGCGTAAATTCGTTTTCGTCAGATTTTTTTTAAATTTCACATAACTATTCTTTGGATATTTATCTACAAAATAAGGTCTGTTTAAATGAAATTGACCGTCTGTAAGTCT